AGGAAGGACAGGAGGAAAAAGTCAAAGAGCCAGAGGATGAGGCAGTATACTATGAAATACAGTCTTCTGAATGTCGCATGACTGTTGCATTCATGAGCCTGCCACAGCTGTGGCTACCTGCACAACACACACACACACACACACACACACACACACCAAGAAAGTAGGAGGTAGGGCTAGTCAGGGAGAGGAAGTCAATAGGAGTGCAAGGGGATAAGACAGGAGGATGGGAATGAATACAATAGCATGCATTGTACATGTATATGAAACTAACAAAAATAAAAATAAAGAGCCGGGTGGCGGTGGTGCACGCCTTTAATCCCAGCTCTCGGGAGGCAGAGGCAGGCGGATCTCTGTGAGTTCGAGGCCAGCCTGGGCTACCAAGTGAGTTCCAGGAAAAAAGGCTCCAAAGCTACACAGAGAAACCAAAAAAATAAAATAAAATAAAATAAATATACAGAATATAAGATAATATCATGAGGTAAATATATTTAATTAATACATTACCTAACTGCATATATTGTATATCTAATTAATATAAATTATGTTTGCTATCTCAGCACTAGGAAGGTGGAGGCAGGCAGACTCCTGGGGTCCCTGGCCAGGCGGCCTCACCCACTCAGTGAGAACGGCCAGTGAGAAACCTTGTCTCAAAAGGGAGGCTGAGCAGGACTGATACCCAAGGGTGTGTGTGTGTGTGTGTGTGTGTGTGTGTGTGTGTGTGTGTGTGTGTAAACTCTGAATAAGTCTAAAGAATAAATATCTTTACTTGATTAAAAAAAAGAAAATGTTCTAAAATTTAAATCGTGGCCTCTCCATCTATTTAAAGCTTTTTGGTGACACCCCCGTGTGTACACAGTTTTCAGAATAACGTCTGGACCTGTTCCAGGCCTTTCAGGAACTAACTCCTCCCTCACCTTCTTCCTACTACCTGTCCACCTTCTTGCTTCATGCCAACAACGCCAAAGACTTGCCAAGACTCAGAAGTGCCCGGTGTTTGGGGCCTTTGCACCCATGCATTGCTAAGATTGCCTTTATCCCTGTCTTCATTCTAGTAAGTTCGGTTGCCTGTTACAACTCAGATTCCTTCCTCTCTAAGCCTTTCCTCCTGCACCCAGATAGTGGGCCATGCCCCTCCTCTCTTGTCCTGGCCACGCCCCTCTCCTATGCCATCCTCCAACAGAGCCTCATTCACAGCACTTTTCACAGCATCCTTAGCGTATTTCCTTCTGAAGCCCGCATTCTCTGCAGTCGCAGTGAGAGCAGGAAGGGAGCCTTATGGGAATTCATTATTTTTTTCAATTCCTAGCACTGTGCTTGATTCACAGGGGACATTTAAATATTTATCGGCTTAATGAAGTGGATGAGTGATTCCACAGTCGATCAGCAGGCTTTCATAACTCGTAGACTATGCCGTGGGATTTGCTCCCTGAAAATCATACCTTTGTAGGATGCCCAATTACCTCTCCCAATCTCCTTACCCCTGTTGTCTCCCCGCCCATCGACGGCTGGTGAGACAGGAAGCTGGGGCAGTAACAGTCCTGATGGCGGACCTTCTAACTAGATAGACACAACCGCCTCCTGGTGGAAGCTGTAAAACCTTCCGCGCCTCCTCTTCAGCCCACCAGCACGCTCCTTGTCCTCTTCTCTTTCCATCTTCCTAGGCTAACATCTAGGCCCATGTGCATGGGTCTCCTTTGGGGCTAGAGAAATATAGACGTGCAGAAACACGCCAACTTCTCACAATGTCGGGAAGATCCCAGAGTCTCAGCATCATTGGCCCCAAGTTAAGACCTGTAATTGATGTCTTCTCCAGACATGCGCCTCAGTTACTTCCTCTGTCCCCAAATGTGTCATCCTTCTCTTCAAATGCCTCTCTTCCTGCTAGCTTTTAGAATCCTACCTGGCCCAGGGGCCAGCACACAGCGTACATGCAGTCTGTGTTAGTGCATGGAGTCCTTTGCAAGCCACCTTCTCCAGTCACCATAAAGAAACAGCCTTCAGGCAGGAGTCAACAATCTTCCTCCGATTCTGATTCAGACCCAGGCCCATGGCCCTCTGTCTCACCTCAGGGAATCCCCAGGATCAGCCTCAAACTCTGAGCTATTCTCATTATCTGATTTCTGTGGCGTCGTGCCATCGCCCTGCCTCTTCCTCTCCCCTCCAGCCTCTTAGCGATCATCTTTTCTCTCCACTCTCTCACTTCTTTCCTCTGAAGATGTCCCCTTGAGTCTCCCCCTGGAAAACCATTCTACAGACACAAGTCTCAAATCACTCCAAGACTAGGAAACTTCCATCTCAATCCCTCCTGAACTTGCAGACACTGCACGTGTACATCAACTGCATCCTACCATCTGGCCCGCATCCCATCCCTTTCCATGTGGACTCACCACCGTTGTTTGCTTTCCACCGTGGAGCATCCTAATCCAGGGTCATCAAAGCCTCCTCTTAAACTTCGCTTCAACTCGTTGATTTGTTTACCACCCACACACTATTCTGAGGCTACTGCCAGCCTTTAGCAAACTAAATAAAACCCTTCAAACGTGATTGTCTACTGGTCACTCTCCTCGGTCATTTGTGTGCTTCAACTTTTCCGTGTGAGTCTATTTTCCTCTCGTGTCCCCTTTCTAACACCGGTGAGTGACCTTTATTCTCTGGAGACAATTACCTCTGGTAAACCACACTGTAGTGGTGTCAGGATTTGACCCCAGGACTCTGCACAGCAGAGCCCCCTGAGAGCATTGTCTCCCCCAAGGCCCTTCAGCTCCACTTTCTTCTCTAATGAGTCCTGTGCATTGTGCTGCCAGAGAAATTCCTGCACAGGACACCATGTTATTAAATCCTGGCTCACAGAGGGAAGGGGGACTGTTGGCTAGGTGTCACTGTAGGCGCATACACGGAACCCCTGACCCAATGCCCTCATGTTGGACTCATCAACTGGCTCAGACTCCCTTCTCTAGGAGGCGGGACTCACTCTGTTAACTCTGGCATCACGATCACTTCTGGATTCCCCAGATTTGGATTCTCCAGAGGATGAATGTTAAACATCACAACTCCAGAGTGTTTCCTGCTTCTTTTGAAGTCCAAAGTCATTCAAAACATTTTGACAACTTTCCAAACCTAGCTAATCTTATTGTCCACCATATGTTAATACCAACCAAACTACACAGTCCACTCTCTTCCTTTCACCTGATAAAATTTAGCTCCCATTGTCAGCCTCCTCATACTGTCCTCTCCTAGAAGTACCCACATGGTGATCCTCTAATTCCCCACTGGATGGCCTGCTCATGTCACTCAGCTATGATGATGAGTATATTATAATGTATTGCTTTATAGCTACATGGCTAGAAGGTCACATGTCTTAATGTGTTTTGTGCTACTATAACAAACTACTGGTGACTTAGTAATTTATAAAGAACAGATTCATTTCTCAGAGTTCTAGAAGGAGATGAGGATTCCAAGGTTGAGGAGCTCACATCTGGTGAGAGCCTTGTTACATCATCTGTAGTGGAAGTCAGAGAAAGAGTGTGAGAGTGAGAACAAGAGAGGAGAAAAGAGAGGCCGATGTTAGACTGAGCATCCTTTCATTAGGAACATACCCCCACAAAAGCTACCTCACCGCTGCAGTCACACCATTGATCCATTCATGAGGACTCTGACCTCATGACCTAATCTCTTAAAGGCCTGGCCTCTCAACATCGTCACTATGCAGATGAAGTTTCCAGCACAAGAACTTGGGGGGACCCACTCAAATCACAGCAGCCTGCCAAAGGAAACCTCCCAGAACCCAAGTAATCCTTTTCCAAAACAAATTCCAGTCTCACTTCGAGAAGACACAATCAGCTTACAACCTGCCAGGTGACATTAACTATCTGCAAAGAAAACTTCAGGCACCTCATCTATGGCCTCTGCCACCCCCTTACAATAACCTAGTAGATATGACGCGTGGATCGTCTTGTCCTCCTACTGAAATCCTGAGCATCAGAGCAGAAACCAGGTCTCTCCCTTCTCTCCCTCTGCCACTTATAATCTGTGCAGCAAATAGCGAACACTTGCTAAATACTGAGTAATTTTTGAATCATCGATAATTTTAAAAGAACAACTCAGTATTCCAAAGAGACCAGAGACAAATGATTTCAGGACCAGGAAATTATTGTTCTCGTTTTGTTCACATTAAGTACGGAAGGATTTCCCCCATACCTCTCAAAGTAGAATAATAACACCCTCTGTGCTGGTGGCACATTTTGAACACTAGAGTTGGAGAGACATGGGCGAGAATCTCAAACATCATCAAACAAGTCACTGGAAGATGTGTCACAGGCACGTCTGCATTTAACGGTTCACAGCAGGTTTAGAAGAAATGTCGCTCTTCAATACTGAATCGCTGTATGAGCAGAGCTGTTTGCTATTCGTACCTTATTTTCTCATATGCTCATCAACTAAGATTCTGACTTGTTCTAGTGAACATTTTGTCCTCGACTGTCTGCTCGTGCTCAGCCTTTTTTTTACACTGCCTTTTTGTTTTGTTTTGTTTTGTTTTGTTTTGTTTTGTTTTGTTTTGTTTTGTTTTGTTTTTCGAGACAGGGTTTCTCTGTGTAGCTTTGCGCCTTTCCTGGAACTCGCTTTGTAGACCAGGCTAGACCCGAACTCACAGAGATCTGCCTGGCTCTGCCTCCCAAGTGCTGGGATTAAAGGTGTGTGCCACCACCGCCCGGCATGCCCAGCCTTTTATTTTCTGCCTCACCACAAAGCCCAGAGTTCAAAGTGCACTGCTCAGTGTTCTGACGGACAGCTGTCACAAAATAAAGTTAATGTCTTGAGCAAATCTGGGAGCATGTTGGCAAAAGTCCAGGTTACACTGGGATTTATATTAGGAGTGTACTTATAATTTTAGTAGAAGGTCATTAAATAAAAGGGAGGTAAATAAATACTGCAATGTGACTTGGAGAGTATATTAAAGTAAGAGTTTGTATAAACGAAGTCTTTTTTCTGTCCTACAGTGACCAAAACTGATGAAGTAAAAATCATCATGGTAAAGCACTACAGAGTAGGCCTGGATGAAAAGTATGAAGTAACAAAAAAGTGGTCTTTGAATGATCTTCAGATGATTGATGGAAAAGAAGCAGATACCGTAAGTGTTAGCATTCTATAAAGGTAGCACAGGATCGATACACTGGAGATCGTTCCGTTCGATGTCCTGCTTTATAGATTCTTGGCATGTCCGAAGTGTTAAGATGACATTATATTGTTCTTAAGTGGTATGGATTAATTTCCTGAGATGATCTACACTGGCTTTTATGATTTGCTTTTATGAGTTGGAATCTGAATTTTGTCTATTAAATCTAAAAGCATCTTCCCTAAGCTCTTCTTGACAGGTTAAACACAATCTACCAGTCAGTCTTGTAACTTTAAATGCTACTTTTTCCAACAGTTGACATTTCCAAGGCCACCCTCTCAAACCCAGATTTTTCTGGTTAAGTTTTGGGAATTCCTTCCTTCTCTAGGCCATAAACATTTGATGTTGCCAGTGACTCATTGACTGTTCCAGTCAAAATGTCTGAACTTTGTCATTTTCTGAACCTTTATGCACTCTGTTATTAGCTTTTTGGTCACCCAGAAATACCACTTTTAAAACTGAGTATATTTGACAAGATTCTTGGTCAAAGAATTGGGATATGTCATTGTTTTGTGTCCTAAGTACTCAGATTTTCTGAAAATATATTTTACCTAAATGTTGAGGACTTAAAAACTGATTAAGCACATTATGGCATGTCTACAATTAGATTAGTTTGTACTCAATACAAAATGTTAAACCTTAGATTTTACACATAAATATACATATGTGTAGGTGCATTTATATATAAAACAAACTTTAATAATAATTCCCTGAGTGATAGTGGTACAAATTTTGAGCTATTGTCTTCATTATACTTTTTGGCACTTACCAAATTTTTATATTGCATTGACTCTTTTTTTTTTCATTTTTCTTTATTAAGAAATTTTCTACTCACTCCACATACTATCCACAGATCCCATCTCCTCCTTCCTCCCACCCCCCAGCCCTCTTTTCCAAGCTACTCCACATCCCCACATCCCCAAATCCCCCAAATCAAGGTCTCCCCTGGGGAGTCAGCAGAGCCCAGCACACTGAGCCTAGGCAGGTCCAAGCCCCTTCCCACTGCACCAAGGCTGTGCAAGGTGTCACACCACAGGCACCGGATTCCAGGAACCTGCCCATAGACCAGGGACAGATTCCAATCCCCCTGCCTGGGTGCCCCCCAAACAGTTCGAGCCAAACAACCATCTTCCATATCCAGAGGGCCTAGTCCAGTCCCATGGGGGCTCCACAGCCACCAGTCCACAGTTCATGGGCTTCCACTAGTGTGGTCCATCATCTCTGCACATCCTCTCATCATGATCTCGACGTCCCTCGCTTGCAGTATCTCTCCTCTCTCTCACCAATTGGATTCCTGGAGCTCAGCCTGGTGCCTGGCCGTGGATCTCTGTAACTGCCTCCATCAGTCATTGGACAAAGGCTCTATGATGACAGCTAGGTTATTTGCTAGGCTGGTCACCAGAGCAGACCAGTCCAGGCACCCTCTAGACCACTGCCAGCAGACCAAGGTGGAGTCAACCTTGTGGATTCCTGAGAGCCTCCCCAGTACCCTGCCTTTCCTATTCCCATGATGTCCTCATCTATCATGGTATCTTCCTCCCTGCCCTCCCACTCTGTTCCTGTTTCAGCTTGACCCTCCCATTTCCCTATGTTCTCATCCCTCAATCCTCACCCTCTGCCACCCCCACACCCAGTCCACTCATGTAGATCTCATCCACTTCTCTTTCACAGGGTCATCCATGTGTCCCTCCTAGGGTCTTTCCCTGTTAGCTAGCCTCTCTGGAGTTGTGGGTTGCAGTCTGGCCATCCCTTCCCTCACAGCTAGAATCCACTTATGAGTACATACCATGTTTGTCCTTCTGAGTCTGGGTTACCTCACTCAAGATAATATTTTCTAGTTCCATCCATTTGCCTGCAAATTTCATGATATCAATGTTTTTTACTGCTGAGTAGTACTCCATTGTGTATATGTGCCATATTTTCTTTATCCATTCTTCAGTTGAGGGGCATCTAGGTTATTTCCAGGTTCTGGCTATTACAAATAGTGCTGATATGAACATAGTTGAGCATCATCTATCCCTGTGGTAAGATTGAGCATTCCTTGGGTATATGCCCAAGAGTGGTATAACTGGATCTTGAGGAAGACTTATTCCCAATTTTCTGAGAAACCACCATACTGATTTCCAAAGTGGCTGTACAAGTTTGCATTCCCACCAACAGTGGAGGAGTGTTCCTCTTGCTCCACATCCTCTCCAACATAAGCTGTCTTCAGTGTTTTTGATCTTAGCCATTCTGACAGGTATAAGATGGTATCTCAGAGTTGTTTTGATTTGCATTTCCCTGATGACTAAGGATATTGAGCAATTCCTTAAATGCCTTTCAGCCATTCAAGATTCTTCTTTTGAGAATTCTCTGTTAAGCTCGATAGCCCATTTTTTAATTGGATTGTTCAGTATTTTGATGTCTAGCTTTTTGTGTTCTTTATATATTTTGGAGATCAGTCCTCTGTCAGATGTGGGGTTGGTGAAGATTTTTTCCCATTCTGTAGGCTGTCGTTTGGTCTTATTGACCATGTCCTTTGCTCTACAAAAGCTTCTCAGTTTCAGGAGGTCCCATTTATTAATTGTCGCTCTCAGTGTCTGTGCTACTGGTATTATATTTAGGAAGTGGTCTCCTGTGCCAATTTGTTTGAGATTACTCCCTACTTTCTCTTCTATCAAGTTCAGTGTAACTGGATTTATGTTGAGGTCTTTGATCCACTTGAACTTGAGTTTTGTGCATGGTGACAGATATGGATCTATTTGCAGTCTTCTGCATGTTGACATCCAGTTATTGCATTGAGTCTTAATAAGAAATCTACAGCACGTTTACCAACCCGTGGTTTAGAAATTAGCTGTCCTCATCCAATTTTAGCCCATTTGTCTCCCCTGCCTCTTTCTCAAATATTACCTTTGTCATAGTTATTTTTGCTGAGTTTGGCTGGTGTCTGGGAACATGTGTATGAAGCCTACTTCCAGCTGAAGCATTTAACTGTGTTCTATTTCTTCCCTACTTTTCCTGGCCTCTAATTTCATTGCAAAATTATTGATTATCCCCTTTTCAATTTGAAGATCATGGTTGTTGAGCGTGAACCAGATAAAAATGGAAAACTCACCCTTTCTGCTTCCCTTATTACTTAAGGATCTACCTGCAATACTAAATTGCTAGGAGAAATACTATATTACCCAAATAGTTGTTCATTCTCTTAAAAACTTCTCCTCCTGGCTCCTCTGGGAATTTCTACCTTTCTCTTGGGGTTGAATCCTCAGGAGTAAGTACTTATTGTGATTTTTATCACTAGTGATGATACAGTGGTATTTTTATCAATGGTAACGATACAGTGGTAAATAGAGCAATTTCAAGCTAGTTGTCAATTTTAAAATGGAAAGGACCGCAATTAAATTCAATTTGTAAAGCAGAAACAAAAATAATTTTGGATTTGAAGAATGACTAGTATAACAAGAGATAGGCTACTGTACCAAAGCTGGATTGGGCTGGCTGAGATTTCAGTTCTTATCCTGGCTCTGCCAGTAACTACATGGGTCTCCTAAATGTCACCTCTTCGAGAACTATTACCCCAATTATATACAAAGGATTACTACCAATCCATGAGTTGCCTTATTAGCTCTAGAATTTTAACAGAGAAAATGAGGAGAGTGGGAAGGAAGGAGAGAGGGAGGAACAGACACTTGCTCAGCCTTCAATTATTAGGCTAAAGGAAAATATCAGTCTTTTCTAAGTATTTCAAAGACGTGAAAGATTTTCCCCACATGATGAGGGGCAAGAATTGGGAGAGAAAATAACCTAGAGGCACAACCAGCATGATTTCCTTTGGTTGAGATTCTCTGTAATCGTTCTTCAACTACCACAATGATAGCTAGAAAATAGTTGCTAGGTGTGACTTGCAGAGTGCTGCCTTGAAATCATTGCACCACTGTTCGTCATTCATTTTTGTTTTGTAAATAGAGTCTTACTATGTAGCTCAAGCTGTCCCGGAACTCATTATGCACCTGCTAGTGGCCTCCCAAGTGCTAAGAGTGTAGACGTGTGCTATTGTGGTCAACCTGTCTATTACTTTTGTAAAGCACTGGTGTGAATATAGAAGGGTGCATGTATGCAGATATGTGTGTAAGTGTGCTTGCCCGCATGTACGTGAGGCTGGGGGTCACTTTCAGATCTCTTCCTCAATTGCCCCCCCTTTTTTGTGTGTGTGTTTGTTTTTGTTTTTCGAGACAGGGTTTCTCTGTGTCCTGGAAGTCATTCTGTAGACCAGGCTGGCCTTGAACTCAGAGATCTGCCAGCATCTGCCTCCCAAGTGCTGGGATTAAAGGTGTGTGCTACCACTGTGTATGCAGGCTGTTCCCTGCTTTTCTTTGAGGCAAGGTCTCTCAACAAACCTGGGACTTGCTGGTTTTGGCTAGACTGGACAGTATAGTTAGTACCAACAATCGCTGGTTATTGAGCCTTTGGAATCCTCCTGTCTCTGCTTGCTTGCTCCTCCCTGGCACGAGTGTTACCAGTGCATGCCGACATGCCTAGCTTCTCACATGAGTGTTGCGGATTTGAACTCAGATACTCATACTTGGACAGCAAGCACTTATCCAATGAACCACCTCTCCAACCTCTAGTCTAGAGCGTGGTTTTGTTATGTCTTTTAAATATTGATTGTACAAACTAAGGGAGTATCTTAATGTAAGTATCAAAGGCTGGGCAGAGCTGAAAAAGGGACCATCCATTTATTAAGCTGTATACTAGCAGCTTATATAACTGATCTCACAAACATGTCACAGCAACTCCATCTAAAATGATGGTCTAAAGCAGTGGTTCTCAACATGTGGGTAAAGATCCCTTTAGTAAAGACTCCCTCACAGGAGTCGCCTAAGACCATCAGAAAACATAGATATTTACGTGATGATTTGTAACAGTAGCAAAATTACAGTTATGAAGTAGCAATGAAGATCATTTTATGGTTGAGG